CCCACCCCCCCTCTCGCACCCATACAACCCGTCCCCCCCCCAAACCAGAATTTTTATTGCAGATTCGGGGTCCTCTCGCCGAGCACAGGACCCCGCTTTCAAAAATATATATATAAAAAATTCTGGGCTGTTTTTTTGCCCGCCTGGTTTGCCCGGGCGGCCCACCCGGCCCCACCCGGTCCACCCGGTCGGGCAGCGTCTGTACTCAGTTTTTAATTTAAAATTGGGAATTTTTTTTAAATGCCCCTCAAGTTTGCGTTTATTTGCGGTGTGCCCCTGTGAACGCCAACTTACCCTGTTATGCCCCTCAGGCCTCTGACATTTTCCTCAGGGCCCTGTCAGCATGGGGCGTATCTTTCCAATATGCCGTTACTGGACCGCTGGTGGCATTTCGTCGGTCCGTCCTTGAAATGCCCTCACGAGAGGCACACATTTTTCTGTCATGCCCTTACAGCCGTGGCGGCAGGAATTCGAACTCGGAAATGGTAGGTATTTCACGCGCCGCCACTGAAAAATGGTGCAGCAGTCAGTCTTCGAGTTCGCCACGCCATGGATCGCTGCTCCCTCCTCCACCCATGCTCATCGCCCTCCTCCCTCCTCCTCCATCCATGCTCGTCACTCTCCTCTCTTCTCCTCCAGCCTCCATCCTCTATCCTCGTCCATCGCCGTAGTCCTTGTCCTTCCTCCTACACTTCCCTCCTCTTCCCTCGTTCTCCCTCCTCCAACTTTCTCCTTGTCACCCCTCCCTCTCCTCCTCCTCCTTGATTGTCGACCTCCTAACCATCACCACGGCCTTCTTCTTGGTGTCATCGCCCGTGCACATGCGCGCGTCTGTATGTGTGTGTATGTGTGTGTGTGTGTCTCCTCCCTACTCCTCTTCCCTCCTCTTCCTCGTTCTCCCTCCAACTTTCTTCACGTCACCCCTCTCTCTCCTCCTCCTCCTCGATTGTCGACCTCCTAACCATCACCATGGCCGTCTTCTTGGCGTCATCGCGCGCGCGTTTGCGTGTGTGTGTGTGTGTATGTGTTGTTGTCATCTTTTCGTTTACTTGTTTGTTGGACAGGTGGTATATGATGACGAATCGAAGGTCCTCCGTACTCCTCTTCCCTCCTCTTCCCTCCTCTTCCCTCGTTCCTCCCTCGTCCAACATCGTCATAGTCCTTGTCATCCGTACTCCTCTCCCCCCCTCTTCCCTCCTCTTCCCTCATATGGACTGCGAGTGTCAACAACGGCGACAGGGGCTTGCTGGAAAGATGGACGGTGCCGGTAAGGGCATATGAGAAACATTTCTGCTGGTTCTCAACGAGCAGCCCGTAGGGGCATACTGAAAACTTGGTACCGCTACCAGTAGGGGCATATGAAACATGTTTGAGGTCCAAACGACACCAGGGTTTTTCTAGAAACATCATTCGTCGTCAGAGGGGTGCGACAAGGTAAGTCGGCCGTCAGAGGCGCATGCCGCAAAAAACACAAACTTCAGGGGCATTTCAAAAAACTTCCCTTTAAAATTTTAATTTAAAATTGGTAAACAATTTCGATTTGACCCTGAGGCAAAAGTTGTTCAGTTCCTTTTTCTGCATAACATAGTTTTTTCTTCGGATTTTGTTTTTCTGTTTTTTGTTTTTGGCTGGGACCTTCTCTAGTCCTTGCACGGCCGGGCCGCCCGAGAAAATAGGGTGTCCCGGGCGGCCCGGGTGGTAGCCTAGCTTCTTAGATCATATATCCGCGCCTCAGTCAAAGCTTGAGACGGCTGTTCCCCAGAGTTCCTTCCAGGATTAACTATGAACTGTCAAGGCTGCGATTTCTGTGGCCTCCTTTGCGGCAGCTCATCTGTGTCTTTGGGAGCGAAGACCTGTATAAGATAAAGCGGCCTCTTATATTGGTCGCTATATCAAAAGTTGACCACATTCGTCGGCCCGTCGGCCCTCTTCTATCCGACGGGGTCCTTCATGAGCTTGAGAAATTTATCATGCGACTGACGAGACGACGAGCTACGCATTGGATTTCCGAACCTCGACCTGGACACCTACGGCGGAGAGCCGAACCATAGCAAAAGACTAGACGTCCATTCAAAACCCTAAGCCCTTTCAAATGCTCCCTAAGCCCTTTCAAATGGCACACCGTGGAGGGATTCGGCACTCTTTAAGCATTAACCCTTTTCACCGAAAGGAGGAGTTGAAAGTTTAAACTAAGCATTAACCCTTTTCACCGAAAGGAGGAGTTGAAAGTTTAAACTAAGTCGTGAAACCTGACATAGTTCTTAACATGATCCAAGCTTGTGATACAAGCCCTGTGGTTACTTACCATGTACAGTAAGAATTTCTCCACCAAACCTCCTGGGGTGCTGAAGGCCACGAGATGCGCCTGCGTTCTTAGCCAACAGGCGAGAAGAGCATATACTAAAATAACAATACAGTATTAATACTGTATTGTTATTTTATAGTACATGTGAATTTAGCAAACCAATAAATAAGTTATTTGTTAATAATGATATTGTATTTTTTTATATTAACTATTTACTATTGTTTATCATGCCCGAACAGAATGTGCACGGCGGCTGGTGGTCATTCTCGCCCTATCGAGACGGAAGGTTACCGCAGAGATAGCTATATTCGCCATGCATTCTCTATAATAACAGCTGTACGATAACGATAAAGCGAGCTATATTTGTCGTGGTAGCCGAACATGAATGTTAGTGCCAAGCCACAGGTATACCATTCGCCAAACCTATCGGCAAACGTGAATGTCCTTTCCACACCAGTGTTAACACCACATTCCAAACTCTTTTTTTTTTTTTTTTATGTCACGGAAAGCTACCTACACTGGTCCCGGAGAGTTATGCCGATCCACACCTCCACCAGTTCTCCAAACGTAATGCACGTTACTTCGGAGCCACAGCCACGCCAGTTCTCCGAACCTTATCATGCTGAACCAACAGCTGCCTGGCAGTGCCTGCGCTCGGATTTCGTCCTATGCTTTTTGTCCCTGCTTCTCTCTCTTGTCCTGTCATCCGACACATGTGTTTACCCTCACGTTTGTGCTTTGCACTCGGAAAGATCTAACATGTATCTTCCAATTCGATTGCCTGTCTGTTGTTCGCACCACTATTGGACTGCCCCGCGGCTTCAACTTGGCAAAGCTGCCCATTCCTTTACGACCACCACAAGATGGCAGTTCACATACCTCCCCACCTGAAACAGCTTCACTCCTCTGCGTCCTTCCTGACCTCCTTACTCCCCTACCTCCCTGCCGCAAACTCTCTCTCATGTCCCTCTGCATCCTCACATTACACACACTATCTCCGCCTGTTTGGTTCACAACTTCACACAATACACTCAAGTACAAGTCGGGGCATGAGTCAAATAGTCAATAGGCATACCTTTTCTGTCTGTCTGTCTCTCTCTCTCTCTCTCTCTCTCTCTCTCTCTCTCTCTCTCTCTCTCTC